TGCCCCACTCGAAGCTGAGAGAAAAGCTCCGGGTCAGGGTCATATACCGCGTTATGACCAATGTTATGGGAAGATTCTACAGGTGCAGAACTCCAGGGTGTGCTAGGCCTCCAGGAAGGAAAATCATTTTCCCTCTTCCTTTCTCGGCAGGTTCTCTAGTCAGGAAATCTCGGTTGGAGTTCTGACTTGAAAATTTACTTATTTTGGAACCAATCCTCCTACAATAAATAATCTGTAGGCCACAGAAATTAGGGAAATTTGGTCAAACTCTCACAATAGGGTCAGAGTCAGGTACAAGATTATAATCCAAAAATGCTGATTCAGAGAGCTAGGGGACAAGGGCTCCAGAGGCTTCGAGGTGCTGTGGCAGGGCACAGTGACCAGGGCACGGTGACCAGGGCACGGTGACCAGGGCGTGGGGAAGCAACTACCAACCACAACCACGTGACTGGGGAAACTGCGACCTCTGTGCAACACCCAGCAGCCCCTAAAACAGCTTTTCTTCTGGGCTCTGATTATGAAATAAGTTTTGGTTTTGTGCTAGATTGGTGGACATGGTCAGATCTGCAGAAAAACATAGCACAGCTCAAGTCAATGTTTTTTGTTTTTGTTTTTGTTTTTGTTTTTTGGTACTGGGGATTGAACTCAGGTCCTCACACTTGTGAGGCAGGTGGCAGAACCACTGAGCTAAATCCCCAGCCCAAAACATTCTGCAATGTGGTGGCCCAGGCCATAATCCTAGCACTCAGGAGGCTGAGGCAGGAAGGATCACAATGAATTCAAGGCCATGCTTTTTTTTTTTTTTTTTGGTATTGGGGATTGAACTCAGGACCTTGAATTTGCAAGGCAGGCAGCGGAACCACTAAGCTAAATCCCTGGCCCTTAAGCCATTGTTCTGATGGCTACAGAATTGGTCAAGATACTCCCTTGTAATTGTACCAAAAGACTGGAGTTGGTTTGGTGTTGATTTCTTTTGGGGAGGGGGCAGCAGAAACCTCTTGGGTGTTTCCTGTTTGGAGAGATAACCAAGAGCTAAAAGCAACAGAACAGAAGAGTTCCTGCTCACCTGGACAATCCAAATGTGGACATGACCACTGGGACTTAGACTGTTGTTTGATTATTGATAAGGCAAAGTGTGCTAACATTTGGAAGACACAAAAACACTGAGCAATGCTTGGTTCCACAGAAAAATAAAGAAACCTTACCAAGTCTGTCTTTACACATGACTTAAGGTACTTATCAGTGGATACTCTAACATTTTTTCCACCATTTGTCCATAATAAGTCACCCTAGGTCATACACAAAAAATACTGATTCACAGGTAGTATTTCTTTCGTTCCAAGAACCGGTCTTTCTTCTTTGTGTGAGAATGATTACAGCAATCATTTGGACCCATGATTTAAAGAGCTTGCCTTCTTGAGCACTGGAGGAAAGGGCAGCTGAAATGGAAACAGTCTGTTACTGACCTGAAGGTCTCACCCTGCAGCAGCCGGGCCGTGGCTGACACAAACTCGCCACACCTAGGAAGTCAGGTGGCTCGCTCTGGCCAGTGGAGCTTCCAGCCCACACTGAGGACCTTGCTACTTGTTTCCACTTTCTTTTCCGCCTACCCACTTGCATGGCATGGAGGCATGGATTTAGGAAAGGGGGACACAGAACTAGAAACTGCCCGGAACGTCTCTGCTTTCGGACAGCCCCCGCCCCCCACCCCACAGCCTTCTGTCACCACCTCCCTCTCTGCCCTGTTCTTGGCTTCCTGTGTGACCATCAAGTCAGCTTCGCGCGGACATCGCGGAGATACACTAGAATTACGAAAGGGAGCCTGGGGTACAGCTCAGTGGAAGAGTGTGTGCGTTAGCGTTTGTGGGGCCCTAGATTCAATTCCCTGCATGGGAGAGAGGGAGGGCAAGGGAGGAAAGGTGTGCAGTGGAAGCACAGTTCAGTCACTGTGTCCAGTACTCCCACAGGACACACTACGTCTTAACGTAGACGGTGCAATCCTCGGAACAGTTTCAGAGAAAGCTCTGTATTGCAAGAAAAGGAAACTTACGTCATCAGTGGTGTCTCATCAGAAAGCCTAATTGGTACACCAGAGAAGAATTTATTTTTTCCCTGATACTGAGGGTTGAACGAGGGCCTTTGCACGGAGCTGCATTCCTAGCTCTTTCTAATTTTGACATAGGGCCTTGTAACACTGGCAAATTTCCCGGGCTGGGTTTGAGCTTGGGATCCTCCAAAAAGCTCCCTTCAGCTGCTGGTTTAGTTCTGCCTGACATTTTTAGTTTCTTTAACCAGCAGTTCTTATTCAAATTCAGAGTTGTCACTTAATTCCCTTCTACACTTAGTTACCAAGTGCTGGAGAAGAGTGTTTCTCAAGCTTTGGAGGTGCACACTAGTTACCCAGGGATCTTGTTAAAGATTCAGATGAAGGAGTTTCCACGAAGACATGGGAGTCTGCATTTATAATACATGGACCCTACTGGTCTGCAGACTGTAATACTGGGGTGCTGGAGTGACTCCTCTGGTCGAAGAAGGCAGTACAGTTCCTTTTTTTTTTGTATGAATAAATTCACAGTTTTAAGAAAGTTTGGTTTGGTTTGGTTTGGTTTTTTGGTTTTTTGAGACAGAGTCTCACTATGTAGTTGCAACTGACCTGGAATTCACTATGTAGCCCAGGCTGGTCTCAAACTCACAGTGATCCTCCTGCCTCAGCCTCCTGAGTGCTGGGATAACAGGTGTGTGCCACCACTCCGAGTTTAAGAAAGGTATTTTTAAAAATAACAACTATACCCTGATGTGCCAATGCATTCTGCTATTGTGTGTGTTTTTGTTATGTATGACTCAGAAAACAGAACAGAGAAGAGAATTTAAACTGTGAATTAATAAACTTATAGGTTTACTTGCTTAGCAAGTTTTTATTAATTTTTACACATCAACGAATTTTAGGTGACATGATGGAGAATTGGATATGCTGAAATAAAAATGGTTGAAATGTCTAAAGAGATTTGAGTCACTATGCAAGTGCGATAAAAATAGAGAAAAATTTAATCTTTAAAATTATGAATTCAAGAATAAGACAGAAACATGCTTAACTCATGGGTTAAATAAGAAAAATAATAAAACAGAATGGGATGACAAAATACAGATAAAAAGTTATGAGAAAAAGTTAAACTGATAATGATAGAAAAATTCATACTTTTAGTATATGCTAGAAAAGAGGAAAGCTTAATTATGAAAAGTTAGAAAAAGAACAACAGGGCCAGGGATTTAGCTCAGTGGTTCTGGCACCTGCCTCACAGGACCAGTGTTCGATCCCCAGTACCAAAACAACAACAACAACAACAACCAACAGTATAGAAAGAAAGTAATAAAAATAAGAGCATAAAAATTTTAAAAGAGCTTGAAATAGGCAAGTAGAAAATAAAGAGAATCAGCAGAACTAAAAGCTCTTAGAAAAGACATATAAATTACAAAGACTGAGTGAAAACACAGAGGGTACAGGAAAGCACCATCAAGAAATAAAAGGAAGCAACTATAAGATGCTATAAAGATTGAAAAGCACGATGAGGACACTGGGACTACCTGTTGGCAAATATGTTGGAAAATGTCAGCAAAATGGACAGATTCTAAGAAAAAACTGTAAGTCATAAAACTGACTCAAGACTGAAACAGTAAACCTAAGTGGTTCTGAGACCATTAAAAAGATGGAACTAGTAACTTAAACATTCCGCAGAGATTATACCAGGCTTTGTCACTTTTAGCAATTTACCAAAACAATACAGATGGTAGGGCAGGAAAGAGCATTTTCAAACATACGCTTAAGTGGAGATTCCAGTGGGATTAGAGACTTAATTAAGTGTGAAAGGCAAAAACTATAAAGCTTTTGGAAACTAACTATCTTTATAATCTGATGATGGGAACTAATTCTTAAGACACTAAAAGCATAAAGTATGGAAGAAAAAATGAACAAAAAACGAATGCCTCATTTCAGAATACTACAAAAGAAAAGAAAATCTGAGATAACATTTGACAATACATTGACAAAAGCTGAAAACCGAACCAAGTGTTGGCAAGAAAGTGAGGGGACAGACTCTGGCGGGAGTGTACATTTTTACAACCACCGGGGAAGATCACCTAACCTTATCCAATAAGTTGAAGATACGTGTGCCATTGACCTACCTACTAGATGCGCATGCAAGGGGAAATGATACACACATAACAAGAAACACACAAGAGTATCAGCCAAATTTGTAATAGTAAACATCTAGGGAGAACCTTAAATGTTCATGCATATTAGAATAAGTAACTTGTGATATCCAGTGGAATAATATACACTACTGAAAATGAACTTCAGGGGGCCAGGGATTTGGCTCAGTGGTTCTGCCACCTGCCTGTAAGTACAAGGGCCCAAGTTCAATCCCTGGTAAAAAAAAAAAAGAAAACAAAAGAAAAGAACTTGAGGGCCAGGGATTTAGCTCAGTGGCACCACACCCGCCTCACAAACACAAGGTCCTGAGTTCGATCCCTGGTACCCTCCCCAAAAAAGAACTTGAACCACACAAATCAGGATAGATAACAATAAGGAACAGCATATCACAAAACAGCATTCTGCGCACATTAGGCTGACATTCCCTGGCTGGCAGTGGAAAGCTTATTTAGTAGGTCCTATCTCCTATCCTTCCTCAAAGCACATTAAGCCACCATGTCGCCTACACATCACATGGCTTTTCTCATAGTTCCTGGTAAGTCTGCACTTAGATTACCTGCAGTGGGCTCACTCTCTTAACTCACCGAATCCACTGGGTTTTCTAAGCCTACCTGGACCTCCTCTTTCCCGGGAAGCTTTCTGTAACTCCTCTACTGAGTTTACAGCCAGTTGCTAATTGTCCCACAGGAAAATTTAACAAAGAGCCTGGTGAGGTGCAGCAAAAGGTTTGATGAACTAAACAGTCTTCCCTCTGCGGTCCTATGAAGCGATCCGTGAGAACCGAGGGGGGCAGGAGGCGAGCTCTAGGGCTTGGAGCTCTTCAGCGAGGAACAAAGCAGCTGGGGCCTAGCAGCTTGGGCATGGGCTCCGCAGACCTAAATTTCGGTCCTGACTCCACCTCATACGCGAACAGGGTGACCTGGGGCAGCAGTGCTCTTCTCCGCCTTAGACTCCATCTTTGAAGAGTGGAGCGGTGCTAGCCGCTGTGGTGGGCACTGCTGGAGACAGCGCAGAGATGCGCTGGGGGAAATGCCTGCCTGGAGAGCGCAGAAGAAACAGTGATTCTGAGCCATGGAGATGCCTAGGACTTCAACAGGTAGGTGGGGGGCGTGCGATCCAAACTTGTGCAGCAGGCAGCACTGGTAGGCAAGGAGACTTTCACCTTCTGTGTCAGGTACACGGGCGCAGAGAGGAGAGAGGGGTCCAGGGAAGGGGCATGGTGTGGGGTCTGTGGCAGGGAAAGAGAATGTGTCTGAGGAGTGTGTTTGGACACGGGCGACGATATTGTGCAGGCTGACGGGCAGGAGCAAGCTTGCCTCTGAAGGCCCTGTTAAAGGAGAGTAGAAGCCAGAAAACACATTAAAGCCATTGTATATGTTTCTATTTGGGGTTGTAGTGTAAATGTAATAATGTCATTAACAGTTGAAAATTGTAAAAATATTAATTTATATTTTGCATCTATGAAAAAGAATAAATGAAAATTTACACAGAGTTACTCAGAATCCAGCTTTACTTTTGTTTTGTTTTTGGTACTGGGGATCGATCTTAGGTCCTTGCGCTTTCTAGGCAGGTGGCGGAACTGCTAAGCTAAATCCCCAGCCAGAATCTAGCTATAAAAGCAACTCTATAAGCAGTAAAATTTTCCAAAAATGTTGGCAATCTTTTTTTGTTGTTGTTGCTAAAACCATAAAATACACATCACCTAAAGAATAGATTTTGTCATGAGAGAAGTAGGGAGCACATCACCGACTGCTTTCCTCCAGGTGTGGGCGGAAAGAGGGGTGCATTTAAAACAAGGCTGTGATGGGCCGGGGATTTAGTTCAGTGTTTCTGCCACCGGCCTCACAAGCACAAGGACCCGAGTTCGATCCCCAGTACCCAAAACAAACAAATGACAACAACAACAAAAAAACCAAGGAGGTGAAATGTTTCTTCAAACTGAAATGATATCTTGCTTTTATTTTTAAATTATCAAGACAAATAGTTATCCTGTAACAAAGTACAGTTCTCGTGTAACAGAGACAGGCATATTAATTTAAAGGCTAAACTCAATGTTTCATGGCCTTCGATATCTGAACACCCTAACCCCCACCTAATGTCTACTTTTATGCCAGGATAGACTAACAACAAAAACACCTTAACGTTTATCAAAGAAGTGGAAGGATTCTCTTCTGTCACATGTGTTTTAGTCTTTGAGTCTCTTTGTGACCCCAACAAAAATAAACGTCAAATAAAATAACTAGGAGGAAACATCATGAGATCGGTTTCCTTTGTGATTTTCTGACAAGGGCCACACAGCCCCCTTGTGGGTAGCAGACTGTTCGAGGGGCGGGCTTTGCCATGAACACAGGCAGGGGAAAGGGTGTCTCTTTCATACCTGAGCATGAAGTGAAAACACTTTCCCCCTCCTGTAAATTCCTGGACTTTTCTGCCCAACAGTTGCCAAGATTATGGTGAAATTTTACTGAATTTACAAGTCAGTAAAATTGGAAAATGGACTGGATTAGTTGTCACGACCCAGCCCACATTCAAACAGCATAGTGAATCCTGTATCTCCTTTGACTAATAAACATAAAAGATGTCGGTTTTATCCAACTATAAATTTGGTTTTAAAATCTAAAATGTTACACTTCGCTAAGTACAGATCTTGCTGATTTCCATCTGCTGGGTGTTTGCTAAAACATCGTACAAAAGAATGTTTCCAGTGCAGCAGGAAACTCTGGCTCATGTGTCGGGGAGCTAGCACTCATGGAAGGTGGATAGCGTCACAGACAGAGAAACACTTTTCTAAAAAATGACTTTGAAACAGGATCTGTACTTGTACAAGATACGGTGATACTACAAAGCATCATTAATAAGCGATCACCATAGTTTCTGGTCTTTAAAAGAAATAACATCTGAGTGTTTCAATTTCACCATCAAATGCCACAGCTCATGAGATAATTCAAAATGCTACGAAATGACCTGACTTCCACCAACGCTGTCTAGAAATAGAAATAATGGAAGGTGATAATATTTCCTACCTCAGCAGCATCCCTGTTCTATGTGTTTGAGAAGTGGGGACCTGAAAGAACCACGGACAGTGTGAGGACAGAAGCAGGTGTCCCGCGAGACGGGCTCCGTTACCCTTCGTGGCGGCCCGATCTGTCCCTCCAGGTTAAGGCTCGTGCACACATCACGGGATTACAGGTGCGCTGCAACCTGTGTGCAGCACTGGAGTAACAGCGAACATTCTGGTGCCCAGCACCGCTCTGAGCGCTGTGTGTGTAGGAATTTCTACTTAACATGACGCTCCAGAGAAGTAGGCACTACCCTCCTGCACTTTACAGATGAGCAAACAGGATTAGGCAAGAAAACTGCTCAAGGCCACAAGTGAGTAAGAGGCCCAGAGCATCGAATCCAGGTCCTCCACACTTGAGTCCTAACTGCTGTGCTGGGCAGGGACCTTGGCCGCCAAAGCCGGCATGAAGGGGATCTTCGTCCGCAGCGCTCCGGGTCTTCACTGCAGCACGGCAGGTAAGGTTCACCCGTCCGGCCTCGCTGTAGACACCCGCAGGTGCGGATCAGTGGGGTGAGGGAGCTGAACGCCCTCTGCGGCTTTCCTCTGCCACTCTGCCGGGTGCCACACTCCTTTCTCTGCCTTTCCTAAAACTGCAGATTTCCTTTGCAGCCGGTCTAACCGCTTCACTTTTGGTGGAACTATTGGATTGGGAGTTGCAAAGGAACAGCCTCCCAAATTCAAGTGGCTGCAGGGCCAGCTTTAAAGTCACAGGCAGCCTTATCACGCCATGTTTACGGAGCCGAAAAGCTTCTGCTATAGAGAATGAGTCTTAATCCACTCCTCTGTCACCCATGCTATCGGATGTAGATTAACTGTTTGCCAAGACGGTCCGAAACAGCTCAGATTTGCTGTGCCACGACTTGGTCGTTTTGCTCATTGGAATATGACTTAGATCAGAAGAAAATTATCTTGTCCACACAGCTGTTTTTCTTCTCCTTTTATGACCCAGGTTTCTGCAAAGTGAAGAGAAGCCACACCCGCCCTCTATTCCTGCTTTCACTCCTCAAATAGCGGCGGCGGTGGCGGTGGTGGGGTGGCAGGTGGAGAGGAAAGACTCGGAAGTGAACCAGAAGAGGTGCCGGAAGCTCTTTGAATCCACTGATGCACATCCGGGCGGAAGAATCTCCCGGCCCCGCTGGAGTTTGGAAATACACAGCTGCAATCAAAGCCAGTGTGCAGGGAATATAGAGGGAGCTCCCGGGAAAATCTTCCCCTCGCCCAGGAAAGGTGGGCGACAGACGGACGAGATGGGAGGCGGTGAGCGTCACTTCCAGCTGGGAGGGCCACGTCCTCTGTGGCACCCGCTTGCACAAGACCGATCGAGCTTTCTGACTGTTCGGCGGTGCAATGAGGGCCTGTTGGATTTTTCCGGGAGTCTCCAGTCCTGTAAGTCTTAGGTAAGAGAACGCGGGCTTGAGCGGGGAGGGAATCAAGGTGAATCTCTCTGGGCTGTCGATTTTTCTTTAACATTTATGGGACAGAAACTGAATGTTTGAACTAGTGCATGATTTAAAACATTCTACATTAGAGCAGAGAAGACTATATTAAGGAATAGCATATTTAAAAGCAATCCAGTCTACTCAATGTGTAAGTGATGTGTGAAGCTGAATATAGAACAACTGATTTCAAAGCGATTCCTCCGCCGGCCTCCCCTCACACAAGCCCGTCTTCCTTCCCTTCAGCCAAAAGAGCTGCTGGAAAAGTCTGAAGAGCACGGGGGTGTGGGGAGTCAGGAGACACAGATTCTAACCTTCTACTTAGTAATAACAACTGTTTTCTGCTTTTCAGTAATGATTATGACGATAGCCATAACGAGAGCAACAGCCGATGTTGCTCAGAGGCACGCCGGGTACTTTCAAGGTCCCATTTTACACACTGCCCCGCTGACACACTTCTTCTGAAGTTTACGTCGTGAACGTGTCGTCCTACAAATCAGAAGCCGAGGCAGAGACCGCTGAAGTCACCCAGAGGCCACCTAGTGGAGCTGACTCCCAAACCCAGACTGTCTGACTTCAGAGGCCGCAGGGAGCCGCACACGCAGGACGCCAGAGAGCCGTGCTGCCCCCTACCGGGGAAAGAGAGCCGCTGCCTCTTCTCCTGGGTCCGCCCGGGAAGCCGGCGGGAAAGGGCCTCGGTGTGGGCGGCGTTTGATGATGCATCCATGGTGTAGGTCGCTGGGAAACTGGATGTAAGACAGAAAGTCTGCAGGGGCAAAGGCGATGAGCAGATGCTTTTATGAGGAGAGACAAAGCAGGGCAGAGAGGCAGAGGGTAACGGAGGAGAGCACGCCCCAGGGTCCCTGGGCCCTGGTCTCCAGGACCCAGTGACCGGACCGGAACCTCCCTGGAGGCGCCCATCTGCTGCGGAGCCTACCCCACTCAGGGCCCTGGGCAGAGCCTCTCTGCCTTTCCGGTTGGGCTTCCAGCTTCTTCTCAGTACCTGAGTCTCCAGCGGGGCTGGCGCTGCACCCAAGGGTGGGGTGTTTGTGTGATCACAGAGGAGACTCTCGGACTCTTGCGGGGTGCTGTTGGCGCTGAGCAGTTGGCACTGCTCCTCCTGAAGCCTGCAGCGCTGTACATTCTGCCCGTGCCGCTGGAAACCTTGCTGAGAAGCGCCGGGTGATGAGAGGTCTGCAGGAGGCCCTCTGAGGCGCCACAGGGCCCATCCCTACTATGGAAATAAAACCCAAAAACTATGTGTATGTGTGTCACTAGAGATTGAAGCCAGGACCTTCACACTGAGCTACATCCTCAGCCTTTGTTTTTTTTTTTTTTTTTTTTTTTTTTTTTTTATCCCCCATCCTCCCCCCACTTTTTTTTTTTTTTTTTTTTTTTTTTTTTTTTGGTAGAGTCCGGCTAAATTACTAAATTTCCCAGGTCCTCCTGCCTCAGCCTCCCAGAGAGCCGGGACTACAGACATGTGCCACCATGTCCAGCTTTGTTTCTTCTTTTAAGATATACACAAATCCACTTGAAGTTCAGTTCCATGGGCTTCTGGGGTAGAATATTAAAGAGAAGTGATAATACATAGCTCATTTTTCATTTGTTTGTTTTTTGAGTACCGGGATCAAACTCAGGACCTTACATTTTCCAGATAGGCGCGATGCTGCTGAGTTACATCCTGGCCCTATAGCTCATGCTTTGTATGAGCTTTTGAAGCAGGGCTGTCAAATCTGGGTGATGTTCTGTAGCAACATTTTTGCTGTGGCTGGAGGGTTTCTGGCGTGTTCCTCATGCCTGTAAGTGGTGAATCTCTGGAACCAGGATCACATAAACACAGATGACCTGGGAGCCAGAAAGTGCTGTGTTAAATCATACGGCAGGATTTTCCTGTGTTGCACCTGTTTTCACTTGTCTGCTTCTGAGGGCTGATGGGATTTCTGGCACACATGGCCCAGAGGGTGCTTTGTAGAGGGTCCACTCTGCCGGTGCCTTGTCCAGTTGTTTGGACCTTCCTGGATCATCTGTGAGTTTTCAGCCATTCTTTAGCACCTATGTTATTTTTATTGAATCTGTGAACCATGCGTATTATAAATAACTTGTTTTTTTATCAACTCACTTTTTAAAAATTTGTTTGCCTGTAGAGTAACTTCTGTGACAATTTGATAAGCTATATTTTACAGTAAGCTTTAAAGTTGACACATATCTATTTTTTAAAAAATTTAAAGTTGGTCCATGTACTCACTACCTTAAATAATCTTGACCAAGTACGTAACATAACGATAAGTTAGAGCAGTGGTGCAATGTTTTACAAGCTGTGCTAGTGGGGATCGAACACAGGGCTTTGGGCATGCTATGTGAGCCTTCTGGCTCTGAACTAACTACTGTAGCCCCCCAGCCCTTTTTAACATTTTACTCTTTTGAGACAGGGTCTCAGTAAGTTGTCTAGGGTAGCCTGGAACTTGACATGGTCCTGCTGCGGCAGGTTCACGGACGTCTGTTACCAAACTCACGTAGAGGAATTTTTAAACATCAAGATTGTATGTAGATAACAAGGATTAAAAGGCAATACATGAACCCGTGTTGGTAAAACGTGTGCCAGTGTAGAAGCGTATGACAGAGTTGATTAAGCATGAGTGCAAATGTGTGAAGTTGTGTACAAGTGTGTGGAGAGCACTTGATGGCGTCTACTCTTCACTGTGGCCTTATGTGGCACTCTGCTGTTAACCTCTAGACTTTCCTAAACGCGGCTGGTCAGATGCTAAGCTAGCAGGCCACATCGAATTGCCTTAGCTGCAGCTGAAAGCAAAGACACGCAACGCAGGTCAGCCCTCTTTGAGCTGTCTCTCAAGTGGAGCCGCCATTTCTGTCCCACCTTGGGAATCAGGGATGTAGCTCTCAGACCCCGTGGCAGAGAGGAGGGCACACGTGCACGGCTTGAGCACAGAACTGAAGCTGGATAAGGAGAGCGGTAAGAGCACTGTGCAGGAGGGAGAGAGTTAAGAAGGCCATGAGACATCAGGGATGGTGGTGTACACCTCAGTCTCAGCTACGCAGGAGGCTGTGGCAGGAGGATCGCGAGAGTCAGAGGCCGGCCTGAGAAATTCAGCAGGAATCTGTCTCAAAAACAAACAAACAAGACAAGACAAAGGAAAACCACAAACGAAAAACTCCAAGCACGAGTGGCTGCGTTGTAGACTGTGGTCAGGGTAGTACTGAGTACCAGAGGCCAGCACTTCTGCCTCCGACCGAACCCAGCATTCCCAGGAATGGAAACAGGGAGCCTGCCTCCCTCGGTGCCTCCTAGCCAGACTGCTCCACGGCCCAGGGACCCACGTTTCTGTAGAGTCTTGCAAGTGGCCAAAGCTACCGCTACCAGATTAGTCCACGTGAAGGGAGTGGAGCTTCCCTTCCTCTCTCAGCGCGTGTGGTCCATCAGGCGCCTTTTCTTTGAGGTTGCTGAGTGATCACACTGATATGCTCACATGTGTGGAGGACTCGCAAGTGTCCGAATTCTCCGCAGAAAGGGCGGACTCCACTACTGGACACTAGCGCCAGCCCCTTGTCGGGGACGCACTCTCCATCCAGATTATCCACTTAGCCTGCTCTTCGCAAGCTTCGCTCGGGCGAGCTTCTATCTTGGTTAGAGTTGGACACCCAGCTTAGGCTTTTTAATGAACTTTGGCTGAATGAATGAATGAACCTTGGCCTTTCCCAGCTGTCTGTGAAAAGCACTGCAGGCCACTGCAGAGAAAGTAAGAAAGCCTTGGTCCTGCAAGAATGTCAGGATCGCTGGGCATAGTGGCGCTTGCCTTGGGAGGCTGAGGCAGGAGGATGGCCAGGAGTTCAGGGCCAGTCTGAACTCCATAGTGAGTTCAGGGCCAAGGTGAACTACATAGTGAAGCCCTGTCTCAAAAAACCAAAAACGAGAATGCGAGGATCAAGGCGATGATGAGAGGAAAGGAGAAAAGGCTCTTCTATGACCTTATCACACCGTGGAGAGGACACAAACGCGAGCACCGTGCATCCAGACTGACCCAGGATGTACGCTAAATTTTAAAATTTGAAACAAGGTCCGGCTAAGTCGGTGATTTGCCCAGGCTTGGCTCAAACTCACCGTCCCCCCCTTCCTCAGCCTCCCTCCGCGCTGGGTGGGGTTGCTGGCCTGTGCCGGCCTTTGGCTCACATCACCTCCTCTTGGTTTGACCCGTCCCAGCTCCCACCTGAATAAATCTCCAACCCTTAGGAAAAAACCACTGAACGGGTAGCGGGTCTTGATCTGGATTTGAAAATAGGTCAGGGCCACGGAAACCACGGCTACGGCCCACTTCGCACAAAGCCAGCGCTCAGGCAGGACTGGGTGTCCCGAGCTCCCCTCCAGTCACCGGGCCCTGGGTGTTGGCTGTACCCGACTCTCCTTCCTGATGCCGAGTCTGGAGCGCAGAGCCAAACCAGGTGCCCGGTGAGGACGCTGAGCCCACAGCTCAGTGGAGAGAAAAATCTGCTGTGTGCACCATTTTAATGCACCGCATCTCAGCCCTGCACACGCGAAGTGTAAATCGGGCTACAATCTGATCGTGAATCAGACCAGACGTCGTGAGTAATTTATCACCGTGCTCCAGATACATCAGCTAAAATAATGTGCATTTAAAGCAACTGTTCCTGCTGCCTTTGTGTGTGCTGGTGAGCTCGCAGGAGCAGATGGGTCTCGAGAGAAATAAAGGAACCAAGATGTCACTTTCGTATCGGCGAGCATGAACAAAATGAAATATCTTTTAACCGTGTGTCTTCCATCATCTGAAAACTGAGTTTCATATAATGAAAACTCGCCTTTCATATAATCTGGGTGCCGCTTTTCTTTTCATCCCTTGTAGTGTTAGGGATGGAACCGAGGCCTCGCTCTACGGCCAAGCCACCCTTCTCATACACAGCCCCCCGAGCTGCTGAACACCAGGTGTCCAGCAGCCCTTCTCAGCCTCCAGGTGACACCGGAAGTGCCCACAGTTCTGGTTCCCAAACTGGCTGGTCGTGGAAATCGTTCTGGGCCTGACACTCAGAATGAAGTAGCAGCGTCCACAAATCACCTTGAGATCCTCAAACTCCAACACTCTCGGGCACACCCAGGTGAGAGGAGAGGAACTCTGCCTTTTCGGTGAGACCCCTGTCCTTGACTTTGGAGTTTGAGAAGGACTGATCTCATTTTTCAAACCACAAAGTCCTGGAATGGTGGTCTCACCTGTAACCTCGAGAGGTGGAGGCCAGAAGATTGCCATGGGCTGCATAGTAAGGTCAAAGTCTGTCCGAACTACACAGTGAGACCCGTATCGAAGAAACAAAACCAAAAAACCCACAAATACCTCTGACCAGACATCTTTGTAAACTTAGTAAGCAGGGCTGGGTATTTAGCTCAGTGGTTCCGCCGCCTGCCTCTCAAGCACAACGTCATGAGTTTGATCCCTGGTACCAAAAAAAAAAAAAAAAGGATCTAGTAAGCAGCCCAGATGATTTTTATAAACAGAGCAGTCAGGTTTGGAGATCTCTGATCTCTCAGGACTAAGGCCAAGATGATTTTGCTCTCTTAACCTCCGCCACATATAGTGCGCCAGTTGCACTGTTTTAAAGTGTGGTATAGGTTTATCTGTGTAGTCATCCATGGATTGATTACACATGCAAGAAAGCTGATTAACTTGCATTTGGTTAAATGGCAACACATCCAGTGGTCCAATTAGGAAAGCACAGAAACAGGCTGGGGTTATCTGCTCCTGGCCTGAGAGAATCTTCTGCTGCCCGTCAAAGCCACCCCTGCCATTCAAACGTCAGACTTTGTTTATAATGGTACCTCTCTCTTGGAAGAATTCGGAAATCCTTTCTCTGGTTCCAGGCTTCCCAATAAAAGAAAGACGTAGCGATCTTGGTGGAGCTTCTCAAGGAATTCATGAAGATTATTTGTGAAACTCAAAGTGAATCTGCAAATCCTGGAGCATCATCTAGAAAATGATCATCTGCCATGATAACAAAAATGTGAAATGAGCCCTCAGCTGTAGTTTGAGAGATTTTTATTGTAAGAGAAAAGGAAAACTGTGTAGTGCTAAGTAAAGAAGAGGAAAGGAGGCCCTTGAAGCAGACGTTGTGACCTCAGCCACACACTTTAGCCACCTGGGGGAAGGCATCCCCTCATCAGAGGCTCTGTGGCTGGGACCCAGGCATCAGTGGTTTCTCAGACTTCCCGAAGTGAAGCTCCCAGCTTTGCATCTCCTGCGGCTTCCGAGTTGGCAGGTGTTGGGTGCAGCCACAGTTTCTGCGGATCAAAGCTCTCACGCCATAAGCTGGGCATGAGTTGCCAAGGTTAGAGGAGCCAGAAGTCAGACTAAAACCCTTCCCACAGGCTGTGATCTTATTTTTCAGGCCAGCTCAAGCTCCCTGGCTTCATATTTGTACACATGCAGAAGAGGCGACTTCAGCCATGTCTTACACCAGGGAGAAGAGAGCCAGGGCTGGGCCAGAGCTCTCACCGTGTCCTGGGTTCAGTCCCATCACTACAAGTTCAAAAATGAAGGAAACCTAATGTAAAGACAAGAAAGCATTTAGCAGTCTCCTTGCACTGAAAAGTGTGTAAGAATTTAAAGGGTGGGGATTTCTCAGGGCAACATTGCCATCCCTTTTCTCAGGTTACCGGCGCTTTACAATGATGTCAGCAAGGACAGAGGGGCACAGGCACCGCACATCAATGTTAGTAATGTGACTAGGTGACATCTGGTCCAAAGCTGGGCCTCCTCAGAGCCTGGAGGTCTCCCTGACCCAGGCCTAGTGAAGCCAGTCACTTTGCTATGAGATCCCGTTCAACTGTCACATTCTGGGACAGACACATAAGGCTAAGTTACATTTTCTTCAGTATTAAGGATTGAACCCAGAGCATCACTCGTGCTAAGCAAGTGCTCTACCAATAAGCTACACTCTAGGCCAAAATTGCAAAATCTGTTAAACTTTAACAGGTGCACAGTCGGTGGGGATGGTGGCCCAGGCATGACTGTAATCTCAGCGTTCTGGAAGACTGTAGTGGGAGGATTGCAAGTGCGAGCCCAGTCTGTGTGATTTAGCGATGTAGGGAGACTCTGTCTCTAACCAGTAACAAAAAATTTAAAGGGGGGCTAGAGCTGTAACTCAGTGTAAAGACCCTGGGTTTGATTTCCAGTTCCACACATCCAAAAACAAAAAACAAAATTAGCCACAGTGATACTTAAATTAGCCTCAGTAATGCAGCTTTACACGCTCTCTCTCTCTCTCTCTCTGAGTCCTTCCAACCGCCCTGTGGATGGTTCTATTATTATCTTTATTTGAGAAATAAAACAAGACACTTGCTCACAGCCGTACAGCTAAAAAGTGACATTGCCAGCATTGGAACCCGTGCCCTGTTGGAGTCCAGGACCCCTGCTCTGAGCTCAAACCTGGAATAACAGCTCCAGTTGGGGCTCTGAAATCTCTATTGATATAATTACTGCTCCAAGCAGTGTGTCTGTGTTTTCACCAAGCTTTGGTCTATCTATTTTTCAAAAGAAGTCTTTTAATTTTTAAATTAACTTGCTTCCCCAAAGACAAAGTCTTTCAAGGTCAGATGTTAACTTACTCCTCTTTGGATATGTTGGAGAAAAGATCAGGAGAATTGACCTCGAGGAAGCCACCTCTGAGGCGTGGGGACAGACGGTCCCTTCTGTCCCAGTGAATGGGAACAGCTACTCTGATGGGAAGGGGCATTTTTTGTGTCTTTGATAGCAGGCAGATTTGTTTTTCTTGACAAGACCCGGAGTGAAAAGTCTTTAATATCCATCTTCTAAGTGAAGTGACTCGCGCCCCACTGACATTAGATCCCCAGCCCCGGGGATACCAGGCCTGCCAGAGGGGCTGCCCTAGGCCGGCTCAGTGGCCACAAGAAGAAACAGAGCATCAGAGGAGCTATATCACCGGCAGGGCCGGGTTAAAAGCACTTGGGTGAGGACTTGGGGATTTGCAAAACAGCAACCCTGGAACCCATCTTAATGCGGAGTGTAGTGGTGCTCCCTGTGATCCAAGCAATTGGGAGGCTGAGGCAGGAGGATCGCTGTGAGTCTGAGCCAGCCTGGGCTACACAGTGAGACCAGAGACAGCATGGTCCCTAAAGGGCCACCTGGGTTCTTCCCTGGGATTTTAAAAACTGGAAGTGGAATAAGAAGTCTATCTCAGCAGGGGCGGGACGAGGGGTTGGGGCTTGGGAGGGGTCAGCGGCAGAGATGAGGAAGGCCTGCGAGACACTCCGAGCCTGGTTCTAGCTGTCCGGCGGCCAATGGTGCTCCTGACCAGCCACATTCAGCTCCTTGTGGCAGGACCTCTGACCGACAGATCCCCTTTGCCTCCGCCCATGTGAGCTGTTTCTATCACTTGTGAGCCAGAGCAAACAGAAGCCCAGAGGAAGAGAGTAGGTTTGGTTTTAGCTCTTTCCTCCGTGTCCTTCTCTCAGGTAAAGTGTACAGGCAGTGCTCTCCCACAGGGTTACCGTGTTCTCCCAGTGTAGAACTTGCCTTACAGCAAGCTGTGGTGACGCATACCTATAATCCCAGCACTCTAGGAGGCTGAGGCAGGAAAATCGCAGTTTCAAGTTCAGTCCTGGTCATTTAGCAAGAACTTGTCTCAAAAGAAAAACATAAGAAAAGGCAAAAGGCCAGGGATGTCTGAAGAACTGGTGTTCAATCACCAACCAAAAAGGAAGGAAGGATGGAAGGATGGACAGAGAGAAAGAAAAAAAGACAAGAAAATCCATTGCTTTATGCTGATTTAGTTCCCAAGGATCTGGACCTGCCTTTCTGTCATGTAGTTATAGGAAAAAGTTGAGGGTTTTAAAATCTCTTCTTTGGGAATAATCTGAATTTTTTCCTAAGAATGGAGTAGGAAACTCTCCTGGTGGCATATGCCTGTAATGACAGCTACTCAGGAGGCTGAGGCATGAGGTTGCAAGTTTATGAGTCCAGCCTGGGGAACTTAGCAAGACCCTGCCTCACAGTGAAATTGTAAAAGGGCTGGGGTATAGCTAGGTATTCGAGTCTTTGGCTGCACCCTTGAGTTTCTATGCTTAATTCTTGGTAATGAGAAAAGGGCGGGGGGCCCTCAAAAAATCCAGATCCCCCCAGAAGTAAAATCCCCAATAAAAAAAATGGGCAAATGAAATGAAAAGACACTTCTTAGAAGAAGTGCAAATGGCCAGTAAATGCACAAAGAAATGTTCAACATCACTGGCCACGAAAGCAGTGAAATGCAAATTAAAATAACATTGAGATTACATCTTACTTCGGAAAGAATGGCCTCCATCAAGAAATCAACCAGTAACAAGTGCTGAAAAGGCTGGGGCACCCTCTGTGTTGTTAACGGGAGAGCAAACTGGTGAGACCACTATGGAAATCAGTATGAAGGTTCCTGAGAAACTAAAACTAGAGATTCCATTTGACCTAGCTACTCAATCTAGCTAAAGTTAAAGACATTCTATTAGAGCGGTACCTGTGTACCCATGTTTGTAGCAGCACAACTCATAAGAGCTATCTTAGAAGTGACCTATACGTCCACCAACAGATGAGTGGATAAAGAAAAGGTACTCGTGCACAAGGAGTGCCACTCCGGCATAAAGATAAGCTGAAGTCATCTGTAGGAAAATGGATGCACCTTGAGACCATGATGCTAAGTGAAATCAATCAGGTTTAACCGTCACATGGTTTCCCTTGTATAACAAACCCAGAGTGAAAATACAGAACAAAACGAAAGATAACAGAAAGTGGGGAGCTGGACCTTCCTCAAAGGGAAAGCAGAGCAAGAGATGGAAGGAGGGAAAGGGCAGGGATGGAGCCAATTGGAATGTGTTCTGTGGATTTGCCCACTTCCCACGGGGAGTGAAAACATCATGGACTGCACGTGTGCACCACTGACAAATGTGAAACTGAAATTAGAAATCCCATGCTGTCCAGACGGTCCTCTTCTGTGCATCTCCCCCAAACGTTAAAGACATCACACCACATCGATGCGGGTGCACCCGCGTTTACAGCAGCACAACTCATAATGGCTGAGTCATAGAAGCAGCCTGTACGCCCATCACCAGGTGAATGCACAGGAGACATGTGGCGTACATACACGACAGAGCATTATTCTGCCATAACGAACGATGTAGAAGGATGTATAAAGAAGGCTGCATAGAAGAAAAACGAAAGCATTTTGAGACCACAACGTTAAGAGAAATAAATCAGATGCACAAGCTTAAGTCTCATGCGGCTTCTCTTCTATGAGAAATTTGAGCTTCTCAAAGTATAAATTGAAAGAGCAAGATCAGAGGAGTAGGAAAGGAGGAAGAACTTCTGCAAATGGGAAGGAGCAGAGGATCTAGAGTTAGAGGGAGGGGAGGAGGGGAGAGGAAGAGGAACCGAAAGAAGTGAGATGCGTACGTCCTGGGGCCAACAACTCCCCGTGCTGACTGCGGTGGGCGGGTACTGCAAAGGTCCTAAGAAAAATGCAGGGGATGCATTTGAACTCAGCAGGGTTATGAGTGCAGGGGCCTTGGTCTTCTTGCTCGAACGACACCACAGCGTTTACCATAGAGGGGAAGAATCAGGCTGGGCATGAATCCAATGTTATGGGAGAATTGCTAATCAATTCTACAGTTGTAGCTGAGAAATATTATTTTAAGTCTGTTTGAAGCCCTTTGCCTGTACCCTCTTCTTCCCAGTCAGTACCCACAGAGACCCTGTGTGCCTTTCCTTTCTGGTGCCCCTGGTTTACCTGGAAGAAAGAAGGAAATTCTTAGTGTTTGAGAAGACTTGAAAAATCTATAGCTGATACAGCCAACTTTCATGGGGCAGGCACACCAATATTTTTTTCCCTTTCTCAGATCTAAAAGCTTGTTTCTAAATAGTAGGAGTCAAAGATAAGGGGACCTCGTGTTTAAACTTACACTATAAGCCAGGGGTCAGCAAGCTACAGTCTGTAGGAGTGAAGTTTTCTGTAAATAAAGTTTTGTTTTGATTCGAATTACAGCCGCATCCATTTGGTCTGTGGCTGCTCTCACATTTAGAACAGCAGAGTCGAGTAGTTGGCAGAGACTTATAGTCTCCAAAGCCTAAGATATTTGCTATTTAGCCTTTTTTAAGAAATTTCCAGATCCCTGCATAAACCAGTGAAAGGGGGAAGATGAACAGGAGATATTTTCTACTCCAAAAGGAGATGAGGATTTCACCAAAGGAAAGGATTTAAGAACCAATGCCTAGAGCTTTGAGCTCTCTGGCCCTGGAGAATTGGTACAGAGTTTATCATGTGGAGCTACACGGATGTAGAGAGTAGGAAAGAGGGGACAGGAAAGCACAGATCAGCGTGGAGAGAATTAGAACAGAGGCAGCCGTGCCTGGGCAGGAACGGACAGGAGTGTCTGAGGATGACCGCAATGTGCTGTGGCCCACAAGAGCATCCCAGATTTCCTTTGTTCTCCACAGAGGGCTGGCAGGCAAGAGGCTGGTCAGTTTATCGGGCCACTCCTTTGAAATGGCTTGCCGATCAATAGCAGTCCAGGTCCTTCTTTCCTCAAACAAAGAGCTGGACAAGACAAACCAGACATGGTGCCAAAATTTTTATTTGAAAGCTACAGGGTAAGCTGGGCGCAGTGGCGCATGCCTGTAATCCCAGCAGTTGGGAGGCTGAGGCAGGAGGATCCCTGTGAGTTCGAGACCAGCCTGGCCTACATAGTGAGTTCCAGGTCAGTCTGAACTACATAGTGAGGCTCTGTCTCAACACCCCCTCAAAAGAAAGAAAGAAAAAAAAGAAAAAAAAAAAAAGCAAGCAAGCTCCTGGTTAAATGAGTATGGGAGAAAACTACAGAGCAAACTTGGGCAAAACAAGACAAAGGGGATGAAAGCAAAATAAAAGTATTGCTTTGTCCGAGAAATGCAGCGTGGACTATCATGGGAGGTCACTGTGGCACCCAGTTTTCTTTTTTGTCCCCTATGTCTCGTGGGAGCTCGCAAGAAGTTCCACATACGGGGTCCTGAGAATTATTTGGGGTTGCCCTGAGATCTTGTAACTGACAGGTCCTGCTCATTTCCCAGCCACCTTTGCCATGCCGTATCTCCTGATTTAGACAGGATGAAATCGTTCTGCTATGCCAGTGCAAATGGACTGTATGCGGGCAACTCTAGATAGTCCAGGAAATCAGTGACAGCCAGTATCCCAGTGCCAACAAAAGCAGACTGATGCATGACCCAAATGCCACACTCTCAGGGCCTAGGTCATTCTCGGATCCCTATTTCACTCTCAGTGCTTAGATTACCCCTAGAGAGAAGGAAGCAGAAGACAGTATCACTGCATAAGAGGTTTCCAAAAATTGTTCAGTGGGTTGCCATGAGGGTTTGTAGCTGCCCAACTCTTAACTGTGTCTTTCAGCTTCTCCTTTAAGGTCTGCCCCAGCAGTAGGACAGTAAGACTGGTGTACAAGTCGGTGCTGGCAGGCAGAACTTTCCTCTGTAGTGAAAACATTCACATCCGCACTGTCCAATATGGCAGCAGCTGTCACCAGACAGAGACTAGGAGGTCCCTAACCGTAGGATAGGACTGCGGATTTGCTGACTCTGTCACAGGAAGAGACTTTTTAGTGTGCATGATGTGCACGGGCAGATTTTTAGGAAGAAACTTAAGCACAACCTTGAGAGTGGAGTGAAGATGTTCGGAAGACGACGCTCATTGTTCTTGGGACAGGGAACGCTCACGCGTCTCTCACACACACAAGGGTACTGGCCTGTGCTACAGACGTGGGCCCAGTGTTGGTTTTTTTCCCTAAAATAATTTAAACATTCTTTGTATTCTCTCCACCTGCTTCCTTATCTTAGGACCAGGTTCCTGCTCTTTACTTTCTCAAGCCATTTTACGGACTTTTGGTGTTTTGAGGAATTTTGGAAGCGACAGTGCTGCCGGGGAAGGGGCCAACATAATAATAGTCCAGGCAGGATGAGGAAAGAATTGTCAAGTGCACACCCAGGAGTGCCCTGGCCAAGTTTGTGCCACCATAAGACACAGACAAAAAAAAAGGTGTCAGGGTGAAAGAGAAAAAACAAAGGTCAAAGCACACAAAAGTAGCAAGGGCAACGGAGAAGGAACAGCACGGATAAATCAGGCTTTGGGGGAGCCGAAGGCCAGGCACCTTAGGTGTGGCTCCCTGAATCTCTAGGTGTGCTTGGCAGGTGTGGTTGGCAGGGAGCCGAGTCATCTCAGGGGCTCTCAACACACATGCAAGGTCCCAGAACTCACTCTGATCTTAACTGACTGTGTACAGCAGATTTATGAATCTGTGATGAGGTGGGAATAGCCCAAAAGCTCAGGCTAGGAGATCCAGCACACAGGTCCTCTCACCTGAAGCACCTCAGATCTCCTGCGTTTTTGCTCTTTTATTTTCTTCTCCTCCTATGAAGATGGAAGCAGGAATGGGACCATTGTTTCTGACTGTACTGACAGATCTGGAAGAAAGAGAGCCCAAGTTTAACCAAGGGAAGGATGATACGGATCCTCTTGATAACTTCAACTAAATGCCAGATGTTCAGTCTCAAACATACAATTGTTCTAGTTATGACATCATCTCCTTTCTACTTATACTTTATTTCTTCTATTCCATCTCAGAAGCCACAAAAGGCTACCGAGCACCTGAAGTATGGATAGTGTGACTGAAAAATTAATTTCGTATGACATTTGTTCATTGAAATTATAACTGGGCTAAATTATATATGGGCTGGAGCATATAGCTCTGTGGTAAAGGGCTTGCCTGGCATGCATGAGGCCCTGGGTTTTGATCCCTAGTACCACAAAAGAAAGAAAATAGCCACAGTGAAGGTCTAAGAGATTAGACGATTTTCTAGGTAAAAGTAGTTACACCTGACTTGAAAATTAAAAGGGATACCTGAAGACTCTAGCCTAAGGGTCGGAAAACATCATGCCCTGTTCCAAGTCCCACGGGTGATGTCTCTGGAGGAGATTCTTAGAGTCGTCTGTCAAGTTCTCAGAATGACACAGATCCGTATGCCGAAGGGAAGACGTCAAGCATGGGCTGCTTGCTGCGCGGACGCCCCAGAGTTTTTATTTTGATCCTTACTGTACACCTGGTGCTGCTGTTGCAGGAAGATGGATGAGAGATGCAAGGGGAGAAAATCGTAGTCCAGAAATGGAAGATCAAGGTATGGAGCGGAGGGTGGAGGTGCGGGTGCAGGTTGGGCAAATGGAAGATTAAATGCGGCCCCTGGTTGTGTCCCTGGACCCCCAGTCCTGCACTGGTGGCATCTGGCCGGCGCTTAGCCTGTAATTACAGACACCAGGTGGCTGCTCCGCTCTCCTAGCTTTCACCCTGCTGAGAGCGGTAATTTGCCAACCTCCATCAACGTTTCTTTTTGAATGCAGGAAATGCTGAGTGTCCTGTTACAGCACTCAGAAGCCCGAGACAATAGAAGAGGAAGTGGAATTTACCCAGGAAACAAAAGAACCTGCGGCTCACTTTTCTTTAGCCTTGGGCAACAGGTAGGATTGGCTGCTGGGCTCTAGGACAGGCTGTGCCAGACCCTGGGAGGGCCTGATGAGAGAGAAGCCCAGCCAGTGGATGCTTAGGGCTTTCAGGGAGGCGTACGTTCCAGTGCCAGAGATGGAGGCAAGGAATCACCCAAGACTATAAGCCGGGCCCACAGTAGTCAAGAGACTGGACTGAAAGGCAGATTTGTGAGTTCAAATCCTGACTGAGGCGTTTTGTAATGCTGTACCCTGGGCAGGTCACACTCTGAGCCTCAGCTTTTCCTCCAGGTAACAGCGATGACAACGGTCTTACCTGTACGGTGGTGTTATTTTGAAGACTGAAATGCCTTGCCGTGTGGGAGGCAATTAGTGTAGTGCCTGTCCCTGGTTATGGGTGCCTGAGTGCCGACCACATGATGGCATCAGATTACTAGCTTTGCCTGGTCCTGGGAGAAGAGGTCGTGTCAGGGAGCAGCTGAGCTCCTGGGAAGATCCCCCTAAGCCCTGCGCAGTATTCCGCCTCTGGAGAGAATGACGCATCCAAAGCCAGTGTCATCTGTTTCAGTGCTGTGGGCTTCTGTGTGTGTGTGTGGGGTCTCTTCTTAGGAAGGTTTGCCAGGCTCAAGGGACCTACTTACTGTTCTAAACTGAGGTGGGAAAGTCCTCTCTGGAGAATTAAAAGAAACAAGCAGAGAGTAATTAGTGGCTAACTTTCATCACCAGGGACAGAGGTGAGCACAGGACATCCTGTGACTCACACACAGGATACTCGAAGCCCTATGTGTCTCTGGGGTTTCTCAGGGGTGGGATGAGAGGCACAGATATCCGTTCGCTGGGCTGCAACAAATCCCAACATTCCCTGGCAAGAGAGGGGCTCCAGTCCCTGCGAGACCAGTGCGCCTTCTAAGGAGCCAGTTCTGGAGGATTTAGCAGTTTCTTTGTAGGAACGGAGCTTTTGGCTGCCCCCTGCCCCTGCCCGCTGTAGTAGAGTCGGTGAGAATACTCATTACCTGGCAGTGTTCTTTCTGTCTCAGATAAAAGGCTCAAATCAAGGGTCAGAAATAATGTAGTGCATTGGTGTGGGGCAGCTGGAAAGAAGAGGGTACAATGAGAGAGACCAGACACCTACTGTCAGGTGAAAAGCATGGAATGACACTTGTCTTAGCTCTGGCAACAGCTGAAAATCCTGTCCCTACTCTTTTTAAAACAGTCACTCAGCCGGGAGTTTGGCTCCGTGGTTCTGCCACCTGCCTCACAAGTGCAAGGGCCCGAGTTCGATCCCCACCCGCCAAATGCATATTGGTAAATCCTTTGAGCTGGGTGTGGTGGCGCACACCTGTAATCCCAGCACTCGGGAGGCTGAGGCAGGATGATCGCTGTGAATTTGAGACCAGCCTGGGCTACATAGTGAGTTCCAGGTCAGTTTCAACTACATAGTGAGACCCTGTCTCAAAACAACAACAACAACAACAACAAAAATAAAACAGTCACTCAGGAGTAGGGTGTGGTGGTGCATGCTCAGGATAGAGGTACAGGCAGCACAACTGGGGCTGGGAGACCACTCCCATCCTCACACTTGGGTTGGGCCAACAGTTGTCCTGAGAGAAGCAAATAATCAAACCCAGTGTCACGAAGACCCAGGACGTCTCTAAAGCTCCAGGCCAGAGCACCTGCGTGTTAGATCTTGAGCCCAACCTTCAGTAGTATTTTCCCCTCTCAAACCTTGTTAAAAGTTCATAAATATGGGCTGCATCTCGTGCATGTCATTTGATCAGTGAGAACTCTGCACTTGTGCCTGTTAAAAGGCCCTGAGGCGACTCAGAACCTGAAGGTCATTCCTGTTGATCATATCCAGAGACACAGTGAGAGGCACCGGGCTGGGGTCATGTCTTTTAGAATCTCTGCACAGTGCTGTACTTTTTGTCTCCCTGTTGCCCACACATCACTCTTCTATGCCCATTTTCCCTTTATCTCCGATAAATGTAGCTGCTTTTACTTTTACCATTGGACAGACACGGGCCATTCTTTGCTCATCCTACACGAGAAACTGGAATCGAACTGTCGGATCCACTCCTCAGTATCACTGACACCTTGGGAAGCTGAGGCAGGAGGATGGCGAAGTGGAGCCCAGCCTGGACAGCTTAGTGACTCAGCAAAACCTCGTCTCAAAATTTAAAAAGGAAAGGGGCTGAGGATGTAGCTCAGGGCAAAGGCTCTGGGTCTTTGCCAAGTACTCTCAAAACAATCATGAAATTAGGCCCAAATCAGTCATGGAAGCGTGATTCACACTCACATCCTTGGAAGTCTGCTCTCCTGGCTGCTAGGGAGTGGTCCTGGGACTTGCACCTCTAGCTCCAGGCTGCCTGAGGACGGAGGCAGCCTCTATGGCAGCCCTGCACATGGCAGTGCTGGCTCTCACGCTCCCCGAAGGCCGGGAGCCTGACCAACGGTAGTCCGAGGGCAGTTTTTCAAGTCATGCTCTGTCGTGGATCCTCTCGGTGGCTTAAAAGCTTAGTGAGTGGATTTGAACGAAGACCCATCAGGAGCAGCACCTGCTGTGCTCCATCAAATATCCCTTGCTGTTTTCTCCGCCTGACTCTAGCAGATCTAGGAAGGAGCACGTCTGAGGAGCGCTGCCACCAGCCTGTGAAGTGGTGGGGCGGGCATGGGAGCCCTGCTCAGGCCTCCGCTGGTCACAAGCCTGGCTCTGTAGGGCTGGGAGTGCCAAGAAGACAAAGCCCCTTGCTGTTCAGGAGGGGCCTCAAGCTACCACTGTGGCTTCTGGCTTTGAAGAGGTTGAAAGTGCTACAGAGAACCCAGTGAAGGAGTCGTCTGTACCCACACATCCCAAGGCAGACATCTGAGTCGTGTCCCGGGAAAGGGCGGTCAGAGAGCCGGCCAGCTGACAAGCTGAGGGACTGGAGGGCTGAATACACTCCAATCTCCTAGAAAGGAGGGGTCCCAGGTCTTGTGCACCACCGGCCGGTTGTCCTTAGGATTTGGACAGCCTTGGGGGAACCTTTAGGGACTATTTAGAAAGACAGTGGCAGCCCCTTGGCACTACCACCCCCCACAGCTTCGTTTTTGCACAAGTGACTGTACCATCACCCACTGGCGATGCTCCCCTTGAATCTTCTTGGTTCATGTAACATGTTTGCTTTATCTGCTGTCTCCATGGTAACTCCTGCCATTCATTGGGCTCTCTGAGAGCAGGCCCCGAGTTAAACAACTGCCCTGCGTGATTAGCTGAGGGGTTGGCTGGCTTTCCACAGCAGCCGGTTCTGTTGCCTCCCATCCACTCTCCTGTTCCTTACTGACGTGCCCCTGTCCCCTAAACACGTACAGTATCTGTCACTGCTCCCAAGGGGCAGCCATCAAGTCTCTGTCTTTATCTCCCACAAAGATGAGCTCAGAGGCTTTTCTGTACTAACACAAATATCAAGCCAAATGCTCCACTTGGGGCTGTTATGTGAGAAACTGAGTGCCTACCATCCTTATGGTGGTTTTTGGTGGCCCGGGTAAATGATCCAGCTCTGCGCTGCTTGCTTGACCTTGTGGCTGTAATGGAGGTTGGCATTTGAGTTGGAGACACTTTTCTCACAAGCCGGCCTGTGGCCCATGAGGCAGCCTAGACAGGGCATTCAGCCCAGCAAGAGCTCTTGACCAGCCAGCCAATCAGATCCTTTCTTGGAGAATTTGAATTAAGTATTTCTGGAGGAAGTCCATCAGTCAGGGGCAGCTAAAAGAGAAACAAGGTAGGTCACAAATGTGGTAGGACCCAACTGCGATGGATCCCCATGTATAGGAGTTTGGAGCCGTGGTATCCTTGAGTGGTGGAACCCTGGAGGACTGGTTTAGCTCAAATGACATACAATGCTCAGAAACAAGTTGACTCTTTTACAGCCATTATCCAAACATATGATTAGTAAGTAAACAGTTTGGTGGCCCACACCAAAATGAAAATCAACCTTTCTGCTAGCTCTTAGCTGAGCCCACCATTTTGGAATACATGGCAGGACCAAGCATGCTCCGTTGCCTGAGCCTCCCCTCTCCTCCAGCTGTCCAACGGCCTTCCTTGCCCACTTCCCTGGTCCTCATTACTGACTGGCCATGCTAGCTAGATTATGTGTCTACTTTGTCTGTCAGAAAGTTTGTGAATTGGAGATCCAAGCTCTGTTTGTGTACGTTGCATGGTTAGTTGGCTGAGATGAGGCCTTCATTCTCATATTGCTATTGATCACTGTATGATCTGCTGTTATTAATGAATGCCTTCCAATATGGTGGTGCTTCTGTTTGATTCCTACTCCTTTTAAGTTTTTCCCAAAGTAATTGTCTTTTTTTGTTACTATTATTTACTTTTTCTCAGGTGGTGAGGAGTTGAGTAGACTCAGTAAAAGATGCAAACATGTACCTGACAAGTATTATCAACAAATATGACACGATAATCCACAATAATGGTCCACAGTACCCTAGAAAACAAATCTTGGCACTGGCTAGTAAAGTGATCAGCCCGTATAAAAGTTCCTTTTCCAAATCATTGTGGATTTAAGGACATCTGTCCTGGATCTAGTGAGAGGAAACAAATGTTGTGGTTTCTGGTAGGATTTTTGTTCTGTTGGTGCTGGTAGACCCACTGGTAGAAGAACACTTTTAATATATGTTTCCTGGAAGACACAATGGTCCCTGAGAGCTCCTCATTCCAGTTTTGTGTGAATTCCTGAGTTCTGAAGTTCTTAGCCTTAAAGTTGTGGTGCTTCCAGGAGCCAAGGGACCGCTGATCCCAGTCAAGATAGAATCCTTCTGTGTGAAGCAAGTAAGGATACAGACAAAACACATGAAACAAAGGTTCTTGGGACTCTGGATCACGAATCACTGAGGCACAGGGAGCCCTAAGAGAGGAAGTGTGAGCTTCCTGCCTGGCCAGAGGTTCCTGGCAATGGCACAGCTAGACAGACCTGGTGAAGCCCAGAGGTTTGCGGAGCAGACAGAACTGTGAATCTGGGGAAGAGAAGGCCACTAGAGTTCTCAAAACAGTGTCCCTGAGAGCTGGTGAGGGAAAGAGCTGTGGGACTACAGAGATTTCTGGGAGTCTTTCTCTAAGTTGTGATCAGCAGGTGGGGTAACTGTGTAAGACCTGGGAGTTCCGGAAGCACTGGCTCCAGATGATAATAAATATGCTGCAAGTTCAGAGCCAACTTTGAATGACTTTAGCTCAACCAGTTAATTCAAAAGTATCATTTCTTTTTGATGAATAAAGACCAGCTAATAATAAAACCTCCTTTTGCACTGGCTGCTAGGAAGACCAAAATCAAACAAAGCCCCTCTGACCAGCGATTCACGCACTAGGCTTACTCCAGGCATAGTCTTACCTTAGTTGGCTTTGCTTCCCTTACCCTAAAAAAAACAAGCAAACAAATCATCAGATTGTGTATTTACCTTTCTGTAATTTTGAAAATTACCGTTTGAAATAAGGTATGAACAGATAAGAAATTTATAAAAGATTGATGTAATGTTCTCTCACAGATAAAATGCTTTTAATAATGTTTCCAATGTCCACTCTGCTCTCCAGGACACACCATCCAGACCCAAGGCCAAAGCCAGGGTGTGGGGCAGGACGACAGAAGCTTAGGTTAGGTGAAGGTTGGAGACGGAGTCAGGACAGGAGAGGTTTAGGAATGGGCAGTGGCCAGTGAGATGGTGGTAGACACATCTGTTAATTTTCAAAAACAGAAAGACTTTCCTATAGTTGAATATGGGAAGAACAGAGTTAGATCAACTGATCCTAGGACAGGTAAGAGTTTAATGAGAAAGGGCCAGGGATTTAGCTCAGTGGTTCCGCCACCTGCCTCACAAGCACAAGGTCCCGAGTTTGATCCCTGGTCCAAAAAAAAAGTTTAATGAGAAATAGGTCATTTCAAGTCTCCAATGAGCTCCCTAACAACTGCATATGAACTGCAAAGGGAAAAACAATGACTTCACAGTGGAGAAAACCAGCAGCTATTAACACCCATGAATGAGGGTAGCATCCAGTCACGGTATCGAGAGCCTGTGCCTGCTGCTGGGGCGCTCTCCGTGTGACCCTGGCTCTGTGGGCTCCGGCCAGCACCAGGTGATCTGGAGCTAATCATGTGGAAGGGCTGGACAACCGGATGCCAGTCAGTCAGGATGGAGGTGGGCAGGCAAACTGGTGCAGGAGGAGGAAACAAAAGACACAACCGCCAGGCAACCTCCTGACCCTGGGTTGAAGCCTGGAGTGAGAAATAAACAACTGCAACATCTGGCTCTGCTGTATTGGACATTTTTTAGGTAATGGGTGAAATTTTAACGTGAACTATAGATGGGGTAACTGTTTTGTGAATGTTATATTCCCCGATTGTGACAATTGTATTGTGATTATGTAAGAGATCCCACTTGTTTTCAGCACATAAACATTGAAGTATTTAGGGGTAAAGAAGCAGGTTCCCAACTTCTCAAAAAGAGAGAGAGAGAGAGAGAGAGAGAGCACATGAGGCAAAATGTGAAAAATGGTAAATTTAGGTAAATGGTATTCAGAATTCATTGTACTATTCTTTTACTTTTCTTTACCTTTCCTTTTCCTTTTTCTTTTCCTTCCTTTCACCCTCCCTCCCTCCTCCCTCCCTTCCTTATTTCTTACAATGAAACAGTACCAAAGCTAAAAGTCAAACAGAGCCCAGGTGTAATCTCAGCACTTTGGGATGCTGAAGCAGGAGAATTTCCAGTTTAAGCCCAGTCTGGGCAACTTTGTAACCCTGTCTCAAAATTTAAAAAAATAAAATAAAAAAGGGAGCTGGGGATATAGCTCAGTGCAAAGTTGCTAGGTTAGGTCCTCACTACCACACACACACACACACACACAAAATAGTCAAATTATTATTTTTTTTTTTTGGTCATAGTATAAGTATACATATAAAATGGCTTATAGGGTCAAGATGGACCTACCAAAGATCACATGCTTACTCACTGAAAATCACCAGATCTATTGACCAACCTTCATTTTTAGCTTATCTGTACAAAATTATATGTGCTCTAAAGTCTTCTCAAAAGACTGAGTTAATAATTTGTGTTCTAGTATGCTGAGATTGCCTTCACAAAGGGAAAGAGACAGGAGGTTTGGGCGACCTTAATAGAGCATGAGTAGGCTCTTAAGGGGCCTCAAGATATCAATAAAGCTAAAGAATTAAGATTTGAGACACAGACTTGGCTACATCATTTAGGTGTTTCTTTTTTCTTTTCTTTTTCTTTTTTAAACTATTTTTTCCCCCTAAATCCATTACTTAAAATATTCCTGGGCTTGGAGTGACACCCAGGAAAAGATAGAGAAATGCAAGTGGCCCAACCAGAAATAAGTGAAACTTGCCACGTGGTCTCAGGACTCAGTGGGGATGAGTTTGGGGTGTCGGATATCCACAAGGTTTTGGAGCAAGACCAAGTGCTCTTTGACAAGTATCTGCTTTCACTTTGTAGCACAAAGGAGCTGGGCTACTACTCTTGGATTCACTACCTCAACATATTTCCATTACCCAGAACCACCCAGCTTTCTAGAACAGAAGATCAGCCTACTGAAGACCAGTCCAGGGCTAACTAGGAGGTAGCACCTTACTATTACGGATTCCATTCATGTTATTAACCAGTTAACTGAATATGTGCTTTTTTTCCCCAAAGCCAGTTATGAGCCTGTAGAATTGTGCTGTCCAAAATGGTAATAACCACTAGGTACATGCTGCTATTAACAGAATTTAAAATATTTAGTTCCTTATATTAGCCACATTTGAAGTATGGAGTAGACATGGGTGGCTAGTTGTCATTATGACAGTGCTGCAGGAAGTTCTTTTGGACAGTGTTTATACAGAACCAAAATGGCAGGTCACATACAAAGGTTTTGCTTTCCATTCTCATGACTGCTAGTTTAGAAGCTTCCCCATTCAGAGGAAGAATTCAAATCTAGTTCTGATGGGATGGACGATGCCATTGCCAGCTGGCCCTTTGGGGCTCCTCATTCTAGTGCACAAATATTTTTAAAAGGCTGGGGTATTGCTATTGATTTGTAAAGACTAAATTTTGCTTTGACACATGAATCCCGATTCTCAGTGGCTTCGAATACCAAGTTTATTTTTCATTCATATATGTCAATCATGAATCCATAGCTAAGGTCTGCCCGTGTTCTCTTCCTTCTGTGACCCAGGATAATGGAATATCTGTCCCCAATGTGGAGAACCACCAAGCTCATGACAGAAGGCTAGGGGATGGCAGAACACATGATTAGCTTCAGGGAGACTTTTAGGGCCACCTTTTATTGACTAAAGCAAAACACATGGCCAGCCTGCTGGGGATGTGCAAAATCCCCAAGGGAATGTGCAACACAAAGTGTCTCTTAGTGTCAAGGAGTATTTTTAATAAAATATAACAGGTGGGATGATTGATGCAGACCATGAAGGGGAAATAGTGCTCCTGATACAAATAGTAGTATGTACACATCTAAATTTTCAGATATTTTATGTTATTCCTCTCCTATCTGCCCACAAATCTACTGTTGGTTATCATTTAGTAAATGTTACCAGATAACAAGATGGGACCATGACAGAACTAAAAAGCAGGCCTCACAGAGGTGTCTAGGACCTCAAACAGTAACAGACAACACAGTGTGTTGTCTCCCTTTGGGAACAAAATTGCACCACGTGAGGTGAAGGCATGTGCGGAGATGTAAGATGACTGGAGGTGCACACTGGGAAACCCGTGGGCGTATTAAAACTGACAGTTGCCACAGATTGTCGCCCAGCACTCACCCTCTTCCTAACTGGACCGATTTCCTCCGAGAAGTCTCTTTACAGCATTACTAAGTGCATTCTCGGTGCTTTGCTGAAACTAAGATTCTAAATCTTTTCTCTAATCATCTTGACCTCTACCCATTTCCAACCTATTTTTTCAATCTTCTATATGTCCCCAAGGTTCAAATGGACTTACTAGAAATCTCATTTGCTTATGTTAGCTGGACTCAGAATCAAAGAGCCTTGGAAAACAAGGCCCTAACTGATCCATCCATCCATGATGTGGCAGGCACCGTGCTGAGTGTCTCATGCACACTGCTTCATCCATTCTCACAGCCATCTACCATTCATCTGGGAAAGATAATATGTAAAAGTTAACTTTGGGTAAACAACAACCTCACCTAACTAGGGATTTTAAATGGTGAGCCCATCAGCTAGGTAACAGAGAGAGCTGGAAGAAGCAGTTTGCATGCTTCCTGTCTCCAACCTTGCCCCGTGTTGAGGAGGCAAGAAGAGGAAAGAAACAGCTCAACCCATGATCACAAATACAGCTGGTGATCTCTCCAACAAATGGTGCGGGGAAAATGGAGCACCGACGTGCAAAAGGATGCATTTGGATACTTATCTGACATAATATACAAATATCAACTCAAAAATAGATCAAAGACCTGCATTTCAGAACTAAAACTATATACCACCGGTGGAGAATATTCATGACTGTGGATTAGGAAATGTTAGTTATGAAAAGCATGGTATCAATGAGAAAACAAAACAAAAACAAACCCTGGACTTTACCAATACTAAAGACTATTGTGCACAAAAGGATACTATCAAGAGCAAACAAAGCAACCCGCACAATGGAAGAAAATATTTACAAATTGCATATCTGACAAGGTGTTAAAATTCAAAACACATAAAGGAACTTCTATAGACACACACACGCGCGCACACACACACACACACACGCACATAAACTTGATTCCACTTAAAAGGGCAAATTAACTTACACACAGTCATATCTTGGTATGTGACTGCTTTGAAACACAATGAAGTTGGTACCTGATGTAGTTTGATGCCACTGCTCATCAAACTACAACTTGCCGGTATCAACTGCCTGCTGACTCACTACCCTTTTCAGCTAAGACAATCTGTTTGGCACTCATTAGTTTTGGCACTCTTCACACCTCCCTGACCAATTAATGACCAATGGCGCCGAGGTCCCACTCAAGATATTTCTCCAGGGATAACGGAATAGCTGATAAATACATGAAAAGATATTCAACATTATCAATCATTGGGGAAATGCAAGTCAAAAAGTACAACAAACTACCAGTGCACATTCTTTAGCAAATGGCTATTAAACAGAAAGTAAATATTGGCAAGGGAGAAAGTGGAACCCCTGTATGTTGCTAGTGGAAATATAAAGTTGTCTACCTACTGTGGAAAAGAGTGTGGAAGTTCCTTTATAAGTTGAACATAAAATTACTGTGTGATCTAGGAATTCCACGCCAATGTTCACACATTATCCGCAACAGCTAAAAGGTAGAAGTCATGGAGAAATGGATAAACAAACCATTGTATGTATGCATTAGCGTTTTAGCTGTGACAAAACACATGAGAGTAACTTCAAAGGAGGAAAGATTTATTTTGGCTCATAGTTTCAGAGGCTTCAATCCATTGCTTTTAGGCCTGTGGTGAGACAAAGACATCAGGGCAGAAGGTAGCTGCTCATTGCGTGGCAGCCAGGAAGCAGAGGTGAGACAGGCAGAGAGAAAAGGTTTTGGGACAAGATATACCATCCAGAGGCACGTGCCCAGTGACCCGCCCCTCCACCTGGGCCTCCCTTCTAATAGTCCACTCAGTTCTGAACTCATGCATTGGTGAATCCATTGATTGTATCAGCACCCTCACAATCCAGTCAATTCCTAGTTCTAATGTGTGCTCTGATATGGATAAACCTTGAAAATATGAGGCTAAGTGAAATCAGGCAGACACAAAAGGCCAAAGAGAATGACGCCACTTTTAGGGAGCACTTAAAAGAATCTGGGATGGGGAAAAGCTGCTGATAGGTTCTGATGGCTGTAAAATGCCACCGCTTTGTATGAAAATGGCAAATTTTGTTATGCATATTTTACCACAATGATAAATGCCAAAAAATAAAGCTGTTTTTTTTTTTATTGAGAATTCACATGGATAATGTTGGTCAAACACTTTTAGAACAAAGTGGGGTTTGTCCCCAGCTCTGATTTTTTTCTTTTCTCAACATTTATTGTAAATTATGGTGGTGGGTACATTTAGTATATTTTAATTATAATATTCTTCAGCTTGTACAATAACCAATACCACTTAAGGACTTTTGTCTTTCTTTGCTTCACAATAAAATGATTTGAAAAACTGTCATCGTTTGGAGGCTTGTAGCAGTCTAATGTAAAATACAGGGTATGCAGCAGCATAAAGCTCAGTTTGGTGGTCTTGAGGCACCCTAGAAACAGGAGTTACCATCTAAGGATGGCAGTGGGAGTCACAGTGACTGGCTAGGAGGCACTGCCCAAACCTCAAAGACAAACTTCAAACTGCAGGTATGGGTGGCAGGGAGAGGCCCTGACAGGCACAGCTCGGGTGACAGCAGGGGATTATTTATCTGATGTTGGTGAGTTACAGTCCCCAGAAACATCAGGTAGGACAGATGGAGCAGCAGGCAGTAAGATAAAGTACCTGAGTGTGAGCAGAGTCTGCACCTGGGGTTTCACTGTTTGGTTACCGCTCACACTGAGAATTTCTGCTCTGAGAGTACATTCATCAATGTCCTGGTCACCAAGGTGTAGGTTACTGCTTTCAAACAGAAGGGAAGGACCTTGGGGGAAGGGAAGTTTTCTGATAAAATTACAAGGCTTGTGATGTTTTAACCAGAACATTTCATTCAGAACTAATGGGTGTGTTTGAAAACTGGAAGCAGCTCAAAAAAGCACATCTAGATGGGTGTGGCGGCACAAGCCTCTAATCCCGGCTACTCTGGAGGCTGAGGCAGGACTGCCAGCTGCAGGTTAGCCTGGGCAATTTAGCAAGTTCCTGTTGCAAAATAAAAAGGACTGGGTGGGGATGGCAGTGCCCCTGTGTTTGACGCTCACTACTGAAGGGAAACAAATCAACCTTGAGAAATGTGGAAACTGACAGACCAATGCTGAAAGCTGATTCCACCCTATGAATGTCAGTGCTGTGTTGTTTTCACTTGGAGGGTGGGTACAGATGTCGGAGGCAGCAGGCCAGAGAGCAACAGCAAACGGGAAACCTGTCGTGTTTCACGTGGGGGCAGGCTCTGCTCTCAAACTCGCAGTGCACAGTTCAAATTAGACCCTGACTTTGGGCACAGCCTGCCCAGCTGCCAGGCAGGCCAGCAGACCATTGTTTGCCTTGGTGGTGACCTGCAGTTCTGCGAGAGCCATGGCCAAGTCTCTTCCAAGGGCCCCAGAACTCCCCACTCCAGTGGAGACTAGCAGGTCCATGTCCTGACCAAGAGGCTGATCAACATTCCTTAAGCACTATTGTGCTGGGAACACCATCTCAGTGGGAGATGGGGTAGAGGGAGGATGACCACTGCACGCCCTCAGATTTGAGGTAATCAGTGTCTCTTCATAATAACTCAGTGAAATCTCCTTTCAAGAAGCAAGGGACATAAAAACCTGAGTGGTATGGTGGCAAGGGAAGCTGAGGCAGGAGAACCACAACTTCAAGGCTAGCCCAGGAAACGTGAAAAGAACTTGTCTCCCCCCACCAAAAAAAAAAACACGCTGGGAGTTTAGCTCAGTGGTACAGGGCTTGCCTAGCATGTGCCAGGCCTTGGATTTAATTCCCAGTGCAACAAAAAATGAAAACACAAAACCTGGATTTTTCTGAGGGATGAATACTTTCCCAAGCCTCTCTCAGCCCACTTAAGAGACAGGAGTGTAGAAAGTTCTTGGTAAGGCTAACATCTGCACTGGCCTTTTTGACCTTCCTTCTCTGCCTATTTTTCTTTGCTCATCTGTTTCCTTGGCAGAGCAAATCTTTCTACTCAGCTCTGCCTTTGCAACTCTAACCTCACTAGCAGAGCTGAGTAGCCAACTTCCTCCCCAAAGAAGCGGTATTATGGTCTTTCTCACAATTACGAGCATAAATGATGTGCATTTATAATACGAGAGCAGTTCTCTGCTTCCAGCATTGTTTGAAATGGCAAAGTTCAAGTAAGACTGCATCTCTGGGGACACACACAGTGCCAATTTCATTTTCTGCAGATGCACACATGAGCACAGTGTCTCCTTGGCAGTGATTAGGCTTTTACAGGTCCCACTGAACTTGCTTTGGCTAAAGGAGCAGAGGGCAGGGGAGACAGCAAGAACAAGTGAGACACTAAGGCTTGACAAGGCATGCTCTGGACACAGACCAGTGTGGCTATAGAATGAGGGAGTTGAGTCCTACAAGGTCCCAAGAACCAACTTAGGACAATTAAGGGATTTGAACAGGAGTGACAGGATCCCAGGGGGAGCAAGGGAGGATGAAAAGGATTCATCAAGGAGGGGCAACTTCCACGATGAATCTTCTAACCTGTTACAGCTTAGATCTAGAATGTCCCTCAAAAGCCTCATGTGTCCAGAGGTAGGGCCTTTGGAAGGTGACTGGATTGTGGGGTGCAATGTGCAGTTAGGAGGTGGGGCCTGGTCGGACAGCACTGTCACTGTGGGTGTGACCCAGAGGCCCCATCTCCCTTCCTTTTCTGACTCCCGGCTGCCATGGGAGTCACTGTCTCACACCAGGCCCTTTCTGCCTTGGTGTCTGTCAACTATGGGCTGAAACCTCTAGCAGCCATGAGCCTTTCTGATAAACCTCTCTGCTTACATTGTCGATGTTGGGTATTTTGTCCCGGGGACGACTGTTACAGCTTTCCAGCTCTTTCCGTCTTGCAGACTGAGAACCACGGCTTCAGAGAAGCTGTAATTACTGATGAGACATCTGTAATATTTACCTTAAGCTTCAGTTAAGGGATTTCGTAGTCAAGCCTACAAGCGAAGGCTGACAACGGAAGCTGCATCATCTCTCCCTTCCCCTGGCTCAGGAGCTCTGAAGGGGCCAGTGAAACCACAATGGAGAGGGGAGAAAAAAGAGAGATATGATCAATGTACCAACTGGTGCACAATAGTAATTGCTAGAAAACATACTAGGTGAGTTATGTAGCCTTAATGTCACTAAAAAAGAATTTTCTTAACTTTAAAAAACACCTTTTCACTTTAAATGATTTCTTTCAAAATAAAGACTAAGAAATTCACAGAGCCTAAAATTAGAAAGCACATTTTTAACATGAAATATTCAAATTTTTGTATCTGAAGAAATGATTTCTGAGCAAAATTACTTGACTTTCAGCCCATGAAGTTAAAGTATCAAATAATCCCATCGAGCGGTCCAATCATACAGTCTTCACAAACCGCTCCTCCATTCTTACCAATCTCAAATCCCGGAGACTTGTTCTCCAGGAAGTTTCCTTTTCAGAACCCGGGTCCTCCTGGGAACTGTGGTCCTGTCAGATGCCAAATCCGTGTGGTCCTCAAGCAGGCAAAGCCCTCTGAAGGTCAAGGTGAAGAGGCAGTGACACTCCTATCGCTGTGAAGGTGATTGGGGATGAAAACACGTATACAGGATGGGCAGTACACTCACGACCACAGCGCCATCCAAGTCTACTTGGTGTTTTTTAAAAATTGGAACAGGATGGTAGACTTATACTATGTAGGGATATAGAATTAGATGATTTCTGACTTTCTATAAAGTACTTTTTTAAGAGTAGAAAATATTTGTTGAAAGGCAGCTTTTGTCTGAGAGACAGTAGGGACCCCCAGTGGGAGGACTTCTCTATAAAGTATTTACAGAATCCCTCAAGTACAGTGTAGTCTGGGAGCCTAGACAGTGGCACCTCAGTTCACAAACTTAATTTGTTCCACAATTCTGGAAAAGGTGGCCATTTCCATGGCTGTGGTTGCGTCTGTCACCCAATGCAGAGCTCACAAACAAAGACAAAATTTTTCCAAACAAAATATTCATGAACTGAGGTACTACTGTATATTTAAAACAAAGCCAACGGTGAAAAATAAATCCCCAAACAGAGCAAGCATTCTGATTTTGGACATTTAGAAGTAAACACTAAGGAACTACCTCCCTTTCTGTGATCTAGACACAAAAAGTTTCAATGCCTTTATTAAATGCCAAGACTGCTTTTATTTTATTAAGGATCAGTGCAGCAGGATGCCTTTAAAATACATAAAAAAAGGGGAGTTAGAAAACTGAATTTTCATCAATTACATGAATATTTGCTTTCTATACCTAATGACAAATTTAAAAAGGCACTTCTTTTGTGACTGTACTGCTGTGTATTTAATCACTAGGAAAATTTATTTCTAGAAAGTTTTCTAGAAACTTTTTGTTAAGCAACTTTTCAATATTTTAAATAGTTAAAAGTTCAATGGCTAAATTGAGAACTGTGTTTCTATTGTGATAAACAGTGAATCTTGGCAAAAAAAAAATTCTACATTACAGACAAACATATACACATTCAAGATTACTACTGATGGCTGGGAGTGCAGCTGAGTGGCACAGCATCTGCCTAGCATGTTCAAGGCCCCAGGGTTTGGTGCCCCAGTACCGGCCTAATACTGTTACTATGCTGAGAATTAGAGAACAATCTCTGCACAGTTTCAGTATTCTAATGTAACACATAACTTCTTTGACCCACAACAGTCACAAACTTTTTAGCAAACGCTTTACTTTAAAAATACACCATTTCAGCCTATTGTTACCATGTTAAGCACAAATACAATATGAACATTATGAATAAAAAAGAGCTTTAGAAAGGCAGCATGGCTACAGCCTAAGTCAGTTTGCTTCCTGGAACCAAACTTAGAGCCCTTAGTCTCTTTAATCATGGGTGCACTTAACGCACAATTAGCTTCCCTGATGACAGAATGAGCTGGATCCATCCACCTCAATAGTTCAGTGACATGCTAAAATGACTATGCAATGCAAAAGAAATTATTAAAAGTATCCTTCCAACTTGGCCGGAGATGTAGCTCAGTGGTGCTGTGCCTGCTTGGCAAACGCAAGGTCCCAAGTTCGATCCCCAGTACCAGAAAAAAACAAAACAAAACAAAATGCCAAAAGTATTCTTCCATCTCATCTTTACTCACTATAATCTTGCTATCCACATTTAAATTTAATACCATTTCCTTCTTCGTCACGTTTCTCATACTGATATTTAAGCAGGATGTTGATCTAATAGTAAGCATTTGTACAACTTAAGCACTGCATATTATCAAATTTCGTATTTGCAAATCAGTTCAAACGGGTATAGCTCTTTAGACTGTCATCCAGTTCTGGGGACATACTCAGAGGTAAGTAGTACTATGTAGCAAACACTGATAATCTGACTAGTCCAGAACATCTCATTTCAGAAACAACAACAAGAAACAAACAACAACAACAACAACAACAACAACAAAACAATTGAAAAAACGGAATGAGCTTAAATTAGTTTTAACAAGTTTTTTAGGTTAAAAAAAGTCAAATCAGTTGAAAATATTGCTGGTCCTTTGGAAAATTTTTTTTTGTGTAGCTGTAAAAAGAAGTGCTTTGGCTTAGGAACCCCAAAGCCTGTACCTGAACTATAGCAGAGAATGACACACACGTATTATGTTCAGCTAACCCACTGTGCCAGTAACAATACAATTATTAACGTGAAACATGACATTATAAAGAGCCTTTAGGATACTTAAAATGTCATGCAAACAACAGGCAACCAGCAAAGCAGTAAAATGGTGGGTTTCATGGCAAATAAAGTTCCACAAAGGGCATGTAATCCAAGTTTTCTAGGGTGCTTCACCAAAGAGCACATCTTTCAGCTAGAATCAAATCTGATTTAATGGGATATTCAATCTAAGCTAGTAACAGCAAAGAGTGCTTCAACATTAGTTTTTCTGCAATGAATGAAGAGGAAAAAAATACACAATTAAAAGACAAAGGTTGAACATTCTAAAGAATTAAGACTAGGTTCAATTTAAACCCATAATTCACTTTTGCACTTGGGTGAAAACAAGAAGATATAAGCAATTATCAGAATTGGTAGAACTGTATCTCCTTATTGGCACCAGGCCATGGACACTGGGGTGAGAAGGTCCTTTCCCAGGCTATTCTCAACTCCTGGTCTCAACTCTTCAAGAGACTAAGAAATATAACATTAACTAGAAGGTGGCATGGGAATGTTCTTGCTTTAAAGAAACAATTTTTGGCCATATTTCTGTAATGTTTTCATGATAGCCACCAATATAAACTTTTTGGCTTTAAGTTATCATCCTAAGCTTAGAAAGAGACAAATTTAGTTCAGTTTTTTTTTTTTTGGACTATCAGAGTTGTCTTTTTAGCAAATATACCAGTTCAGCAAAAATTCTCTTGATGTCTCCCAATAATAACTAATCCAAAATTTCCAAGTTTCTCAGAA